ATTTAGGTACATGATTAAAATGAGCTGACACCAACGTACAGCATAGATAGTAGACTAGAAGAGGTATTTTGTGTAAAAGTTTCAAGAGAAAAATTTAAGAACTGACAGAGTTATGAATTTGTCAATGAACAGTTTCTGAAAAACTCGTTTTCGTAAGTATTATTAAGTATCATAAATCAACGAGAATTGGAGAGCCGGTTACTAGGATGAAATAGATTTAACTTCCTGGATCTGGAATCTGTTTCTGGGAAGTCCTATTCGGAAAGACAAAAAGACGAACAGAAAGGTCAATGTTGAACTTGTCTTGATCGACCGGATTCTTTAGCAGGTCCCAGTTGTATGATTCTCTTATCGTTTTGATGAATCTGTGTTCGAAGACTCAGTTTAAAGGCGGCGCAGATGATCCGATGGTCTGAATCTACGTCTATGGAATCATAGGCTCGGCAGTTCTGGAGCGAGTTTAGCCACTTTCCTCTGACTAGAATGTGATCTAGCTGAGCACAGAAACCACTTGAGTGCTCCCAGGTCCAGAGTCTTCCTTTGCGGTGTGGAAAGCGTGAGAAGGCTGGCCTGAGATTGTTAATCATACACTTTATATTTCGAAACACTCCGCAATAGTATTATCATTTCAGAAAGCCCTCTCCTCTGCTCCTTCAAAATGTCCTCGAGGCCTAATTCCGATGGCAGAAGTATGAAGAAAACATTCACACTTGAACTTTCAGAGAATGTATACCCGTAGATATTATCGCTAGGATCAGTTCGTTATTAGAGCCAATCTAATATTCTGTGAATGAGGTGGAATGACTGAGCCCCAATTCTCTGTGCGTCAAACAGGATCAAGCTGATCTTTGCTACATCCTGAGAGTTACTAACAGCAAAGCGATTTTACACCGAGGATACTCACAGTTGTTGTGAAAAACATCAGCCTTTGATGCATTTCTCACTTCTGTGCATTTTTATTTCGAGACCTTTATACAGTAAACATCGATTGAGAAAAAACACACAAATCCTTAAATATAGTACATTTTCTAAGAAGACTCGTTTCTGATATACGCAAAACGTCTGAAGAAAAATTTCAACTGTACAATAATCAAGTAAAAAGGATTTATATATTCATACTCTCTTACTCACTGCAACTGCCCTGTACTTACTACGTGAATTAGTTATTTTTTTACTGCACTTCTAACTTAGAAAAGTTAAAAAGCAGATGTAAACTGCAAAAGTTCGAACATAAAGCGGTTTTCACACCACTTTCAGAAATAGATGTACCTTGTATAACGGACACTGCTTTTTCTTCTCGTCTGAAATGATAAGAAAAACTTCGATATGTACAAGGTGTGTATATAACAAAAAAAAATGGACATTAATAAACTCGTTTATTTTAAAAAAAGATTATATTATGTTTTATTCCGTCCAACTTATTTGTGCATCTACGCTGTTTTTTTCCGGTGATTATTTTACTTTATTTGGTTTTGCTGTTGAAAAAAAGACAATATTCTATAAAACTAGATTAATTAATAGAACATACGAAAGCTTTTTTAGCTGAGTTCGATCGATCTCTGGAGCTTGCCCAAATATCTGGAACCTTTTCAAAATCTTATAGAAGACTTTTAAAATTGAAGAAAAATAGGACATCAGATGCGAAACAATTCAACATACATTTCCAATTGCAATCATCATTACCTATTATAAATTTAGGTATGGTTTAGTGACCCTCCTGAACTGTTTCTTGTTCTGTATAGTGCCATGAGAGAAGGTTTAGTAACTGTACTTGTTTCTACGCCTCCCCTAAACGCTTTATAAGGATTTAGGAAAATGGAACTATTCAGAACGAATAAGGGTTTGGGAGAGCTGCTAAACCTTTTCCTAAACGCTTTTTTATGTAAACTCCTAAACCCTTATTCATTCTCTATGGTTTCATTTTCGTAAACCCTTTAACGTTTTTTAAACTACACTTCTTTTTAAGAGTGTACTCCTATTTCGATCTATTTACTACGAATAACAAATAATTCACAAGATTCTTATAGCATTTCTTTTCATGGACAACTAGCAGTTATTTTATTTATTCGTTTGTTTTAGGAGCATACATGATTAGTCCATAGTGTTGATTATGGAACAGTGACACGATTTGAATCTTAGTACCTTGAGCAATAAAAAGCTTGTGGAATGATCCAGGAATAAAAGAATGCTGATAGAAGAGAATATTAGCTAATCGACTCTGTCAAACAGTTAAGTTATTTAGTTTTACCTCATTTTATTCTATAAATATGTTTAATTTTTCTTCCTCTTTTAAACTATTTAGATTCGATTGTCTCACTTAATTATTTAACAACAGAACAAGATATACTTACAGTTCAAAGGGGCCAACAACAGCAATTATTGAATATCCATTTTGAAGAACTATTTCTTGTATAACACACGTGCCTTTCACATAAACTATCAAATTGAGCATACATCCACACGCGTGATCGAAACTATGAAGACAGTATATTTATTCAACTGTAACGGATTTATGGTCGAAACGGTTTCTTTTCTTTCTTATCACGATGGTCGACTAGTGAAAGTTAGTATGCACTGGTATCGGTATCCATACCAAAATACCAAAAATACCGCCTTTTTTTACTTTGACGTCTTTGGACTTTTCATTCAAAATGATACTTTAGAAAATATTATTTTTTGATATATATTTGTAGAAAAAACTATTAAACAACTAAATAACTGTATTCATCTCGTTTCCAGAATGGTTGATGTTAGTGGGCAGTCTTCTGGACTCTTCCATGCATATAACTTTTGGTTCGTAGGTCCTGAAAATTCCTTCTCTAACCAAACTTTATTTACAAAACCATCACAATTCTTACACATCCAACATTCTCAATCTGTTCTCATACCAATCCATTTCATCTTTGAAATTCAATTTTCTACACAAATCCGATATCCCCCTGTAGATCTTCTTCACATCAAATGGATTCGTCTTTCCATTCAACGACGAATACATTTTCCTTAAACATACGGGACACAGATACAACGGTTGCCCGTCCATTTCTTCTCCGTTATTTGTTCCGTTCATCAAACACAAATAGTAAATGCAATGTTCTAATCCGAACAAATGAATAACTTCATGGACGAAAACACCAATAGCTCGTTTCAGGATTAACAAGCGTTCTTCTTCCGTGCATGGAAATTGGTCATCCGGTGTTCCGGGAAACATAGGGTCCAACCGAGCAAATGAATAAATCCCGACGCCATCTTCAATCGAAGCTATACCATAAACAAAATTCCACGATGATCGTGGATAAATATCAGCCATTGTAATGCCAACACAAAACAGTTCACGTCGATCACGACTACGTTTTCTTTGCATTTTTTTCAGATGATCAATTAGATTTGTGGTTAAATATTGTGGTTGATTTGTGTACGGGTTTAGACGTTGTTTCATTGTTTTAGAATCAAAGTCGATTGAAGGTAAAATTTCGACTAAACATCCAGGGAAAAAATGGCTTGAAAATTCACAGATGGTTTCCAATGATGGCGCTCTACAGAAAATAGAGGTAAGTGGTTGACTGCATAGGCCCGAAAAGAGAAAGCTCACCGTGGATGGTTACACTCGCCAATTGGTTGTACATAAATTGTTCTGTAACTGTAACGAGAAAGAAAATTATTGATATGCGAGATTCTATAAAGCCTCTTGCACTCACGTTGAATGTGGTCGTGTTCTTTTCGTTTTTTCAAATTGTTTTAAAGTTTGTCCCGATTCTTCGTATATGCTTAGCCAGTCACCATCGTTTGGCACTGGAATGGGCAGAAAACTTTCATTGATGCCGACTGTTAATGCATGAAGAAGATCGGTGTCTAACTAAAACTTAGAAAATGTGTTTTTGATTTTAAAAATAAGGGATAAGTAAACTTACTTTTGATGTATCACCAAGAGCTTTCGTTCGTTGTTCGGCTGTTGGTGGTGTAAATTGTTTCGATGTCATTTTTATAACAGTAAGAAAGTGAAATTTGGAAAGTATGTGTTTTATTCGACCCCTCACCTATGGATATATATATAATGACTTTATTATTGCACAAGGTTTAATGACGATAGTAATGTGTCATGTTCTTGCGTGTCCTCCACTAACATTCGTCATCGTCTCTTTTAAACAGAACAGAACAAAAATTTCATCAGTTCCTGTTTTGTTCTATTCTTTCTCTAAACAAACTCATTCATTCTGTTCTGCTTTCAAAAGTTTGAAATCTACAAAAAGGAAAAACAGTAAAACTAAATGAGTTTGTTTTAATGCGAAAGAAAAGGAACCAAAAAACGAAGAAAGAAAAACCTCCGAGTGATATGATGCGTTTAAAAAACACTATATACTGGGACTTTATTCATATGTTTCTTCTTCAACTTTTTGTTAACGTGTCTGTATTTTTCTGTTTCCACTCACTTCCATTAGTCGGTCGTTAAAAGTCTGAAAAATAAAAAGTAAAAAAGTAAAAAGTATTCTGTTTCTCAGTCTTACTTGCAAAAGCCATTTTGGGAAATCTGTCTTGTCTAGCTCATTCACTAACGAATGGCATCCTCATCAACGTCGTCTATCCGTATATTATGGTGTTCACAGCTAAATAACAATCCATGGTGATCAAATAAAAAATCGGAATGGAAACGTTATTTGGATTTGCAAAATGATTTAATTGAACAAGGAGTGATTCAGTAACTACACAGACCCAAGAGCGAAAAAAAAACATAGAACGTGCGTCGGAACTCCATTCAAAATTTTCAACCCCGTTTCGATCCAGTTCAAAACTGAAAAAAATTTTTCAACTTTGTCTGTTCCACACCCGTTCACAAATTTCGATTTATTGGAGTTCAAAAACCGTTTCACAGAGTTCATTATTGGGGCGTTCAAGAACTAGTTCACGACTATCATTTTCTATCCAAGTCAGGTGGCGTTCAACAATCCGTTCCACATGGTCTACAGTTTTCTGTCGAGGTCAAGGAGAGTTCAACCGCAGTTCGAACGCCCGCTTACGTTCCTGTTTTTCTTCTGTTTGTTACTTCAAAGGGAGTTCAACCACCTATTCCGACGATGTCTATTAGTCTAAAACTCTATATAAATCAGTTTGTATACATATAACCAGATCAAAGGCTTCACGAACACAGGATTTTTTTCTTTACCTATTCAAATCAAAGTTAGATTTTTTCAACACACACTTTTCGTTATTGTTAGAGATAAGACGTTAGTAATAAATAACTTTGGATAAATGCAAATATTTATCCAAAAAAAAGTTACATGTGCGTTATTTGACTCTGTTGCTACAGAGTTATATATAACTCATTCTACGATTATAAATATATTTTAAATAGTGTTGCTTTGGTTAATAGTATCATTACGATGGATGAGTTATTTAATTGATTATGAATATATTTTATAACCGGTGGTATTACTGATGGTCAGGCCTGTAGTAAACATCAATGTGCTGGTATCCCAGACATTGATTTAATGATAAAATATGGTGAAATTAATTATTGCCAATATCATCCATATCTGGTTTTGTTTATGTCAAATGGAATTCAACAACACTTCGAACATTTCCATTACATGAAGTACATTTGCAACTAAATATTCGTTGTATAAGCGGTTTCCAATTAAAAAATAAATGCATTTATGCTCGGGCATTGCATCCGATAAAATATAAACATCAACGGATGTTGATAGTGCTAGTGTTCGGGTAACTACAAATTTGTGTAATCATGCAATAATAGTAAAAGAATTTAATGAAGCATTACGGCATGTTGAATCATTTCAAAAAGATCATATTCAGAAAAGTAAAGAGTTTTTAATATTATTTACAAATATATTCAAATTTTTCGATCAACTTAAACCTTTTATTATAGAGTCAATACCTGAGATGGCTTCATTTTTCAATGCGGAAGCATTTCAAAATATGCTACATTTATGCTCACTGGCTATCAATTATCAGGTGACAATAAAAGCAAATCAAAAGCACTTATCAATTATCGTTTAAAACAACGTACAATTTATTAAAATTATCTTCAAAATGCTAACAGCGGATTCCAGTTTTTGTACAATGATTTTGATTGTGTACCATCATTAAAACTCAATTTTTGACCACAAGATGTAAAATCATCATTAGAATGTATAAACAGGCATATCCCATGGGGAAATTTTATCGACTTTTCACGCGTGAGGGACCGTGAAATGTCAACTTGGACTTTCACGAAATTTTGTAGGTAAAGATAGGAAGTTTCACGACGGTTTGGTCGTGTTGTTGCAACATCACACGCGCGGCCACGCGTGAAAAATCTTCACACGTGTACACAAGTGACCAATCTTCACGCGTGATTACGTGTGAAAAAATCTTGACCATGCCGACCCTCTATAGTCAACTGACTATAGACGATCACCATGGTCAAGGTATAATGCAGTCTTCATTAATGCAACTTCATCTATAACTTTTTCCACGTGTGACCACTAGTTTCTAAAATATCACACAAAGTAAGAGTCGAATCAGGGTTCTTTGAATTAGAAATCTACGATACTACTATTGAGCTAACTTGCCTGAGAAACTACTGAATAAATCTCATATTCATACTTGTCGAATCAATCTTCACGAGTTACCACGTGTAAAAAAGTTCTCACGCGTGATTACTCGTGAACTTCCTAAATCTTTTTTCTTAGTTTCCAACGTTTTCAAACTATTTTACTTAATACTTCCTCCCGGGGAACAAGATGATTCCCAGGCGTATTCCTACAGAAAATACCTTCGGTCTACAACAAAGGTTTTCATCTGTATGTATGTACAACTTTCGAAAGATATAGGAGAAATTTGTATTTATGCTTGCCGCTCAATCACGACATTTCACACCTGTAAAAGGTTTCACACGTGGACGTGCGTGAAACGTAAGAATTTTGTCGCTTGTGGTTAAGCGTGAATATTATTCACGAAATGAGTTGCGTGAAACATTGACGTGCGAATAAATGTGAAGATATTTTTCACAATGAAATTAGTAGGAATCATTTTCACGCGTGTCCGCAAGTGATATTTTTTACCGAAATTTTAACAAGAGAAATTCACGTGTGGCCACTACACACTTCACGACTTTCACCTGTGATCACGTGCGAAAAATATGACGCGAAACGTTTTCGTAACCAGTTCACCTGTTGTCACACGTGGAATATATTTTTCACGCGTGCCCACGCACCATTTTACGATGTTCACGTGCGACTACAATTCATTTCACGATATTCACGCGTGTACACACCGCGGTACCTACTAAAATTTCCCCATGGGATACGTGGAAAAAACGATTATTATTTGATAAATTAAATGAAATTCGTTGACAGGTATAGAAATATTCAATTTTGTTATTCATTTTGAAATGTTGGAATATTATTGGCACATAAACGTAGTTTCTTTCCTGTTAAACCATATTTGAATAAAAAGATGGCTTGCTTGTTGTTGCTTAGTGTCAAAGAAAGCGTTATATTTCGACAAGGAAATGAAAACTAGAAAAACGGGTACTTAACATTTTTAGTTGGTCTTAGATTCAAATTTTCACATAGGTAAAAATAAAATATTTTTGCAATTACGTAAAAGCTAGAACACATATTTTGATTTGTTTTGAAAAATAGATCGTTTTCTAAGAATCTTGAAAACTTTAGCTTTTTAAATTTTCAAGCGCAAAAGTTTTTTCAAACGTTAAAACGCACATCTTCGGACTCAGTTCGGCGAGCTCTATCCAACCATATATAAATATCGCAAAAACAAAAAAAAAACACTCGAATTGTGAATTTCCGACACTTTACATAAAGATAATAAAATGGAATGTTAGCACTTCACGGCTTGTCCACGTAACAGCACACTTCGCTGATCAAGTTTTTGAAAAACTTTTTTACCATATCGAAAGTTTTGAACACATGGTTAGATTCAGTTTTTTATTCTAAGAACCCGTTTGAAACTCGTTTTTCAAAAAAGTTCATTTTTCATCCCCAAACCTGGTTTTGAACTTTTCAGAAACCGGATTTTTAATGTTTTAACCAAAAACATTTTTTAAAACAAATTTCTAAAAATATACTTTTGCAGAGAATTTAATGGCGTATTTATTTTTGAGTTTACTGGCTATATACCATTTGTACATAGTTGTACAGTTTCCGACTTACGGTCTAATTTTTGAGCTCTTATTTTGATACAGCAACTTGATTTTTGCGCAGATCGATCAAATATACAAAGAACACAGGAAGCTGAGAAAACCAAAACTTTTCCATCGTGTAAAGTGTCTCAAATATGCTTGACAAAAAAGTGCGTAACGCCGTGACGAAAAACGTAACGCTGTGACGCTTATATTTTGTGTTTTTCAGACAAATCTAATAACCTAGGTGAAATATTTTTTTACCATTAGAAAGCCCATAAGCTGCTCTACAGCATCGGCTCAGGGAATGTTCCATTTGGAAAACTACTTTCGCAGCAAATCAAGATTTTCGTAGCAGTACTCTTAAAAAAGGATCATTTTTCGTAACGCCGTGACGTAACACTAAAATCCTTCTTAAAGTCCAATGAAGCATCCAAAAACGTTCGTTTTCACAGCATAAGTAGAGCATGATGAACTGCGTCGATGGACGTTTAAACGAACTTTCTAGTTACTTTAGTTTCAGAGATAATCGACGTTTAGTGCGTCAAAAACGTAACGCGGTGACAGTTGGACAAGCCGTTCAGCTCTTGATATTCCGTGTAACAGCTTTATTTTAACTGTAATGGAGTTTGATAGGAAAAATCAAAACACGACGCATGGAAGCTATTTATTGTCGTGTAAGAATAGACTTTCCTGCTTTAAACTACAATCGTCACGAGAGGTGTGTTCCATGTTTATATTGTTTTCATTCCATGTCACTGTCTCCTCTCATTACCATAAAGGATGACATTAATCATTTCTTTCTCGAATGTACAAATTATACTAGTGATTGAGTAACCAACT